ATGTGATGGGAAGTAGTAGAGGGGTGTGTGTGTGTGTGGCCTTTATTTATTTGTATCAGAGTGTTGTACCATCCATCAATGTGATGGGAAGTAGTAGAGGTGTGTGGGGGGCTTTCTTTATTTGTATCAGAGTGTTGTACAATTTAAAATCATGGATGCATGTAAAATGTAGGTGAAAATTAAAAACAAACCATTAGACTATTTTTGTCCAGAAGTGGGCTACTTCATTAGTGTTATCTTGGCCATTTACTAAATTTTCTTTTGTACACATAGGTGGAGTATAAATTGCATGTATATAAATGCTGTGTTGCTTGATTTGAGTTAATTAACCCAAGCTAACTGAAAGTCTGAGAGCTGGGTTGGAATTAAAGATCTAATGTTTAAATCCTCATAGAACCAAAAAGTTAATTGGCTAGTCTAGGGGCAAGTAATTTTACCTCAGGCTACCCTATTTCACAGCACTGTGGATGGACAAGACTACTTTCCCCCCTCTTCTTGCTTTTTCTAGATCTACATTTAGATTGATACTCTTAGGCTTGTTTCACTGCTGTCTAAATTAACAATCTTTGCTTAAATAGGAAGGAAAGATATAAAAACTTTCAGTCAAGAGTGAGCAGGATCGGACAGAAACTGCTGGGAATGCTCTCTGAGACAGCTGTATCTGGAGTGAAGGTAGCAGCTTTGAGATTTGCTCCTTAAAGTTATATTTTCCTCTACAAATATGTTTTGATCTTCTCTGTAGAGTTGCTATTGTAATCTCTTGCATATAAGGCAGAAAGTTCTGTGATACCCTGTAGATGAAGGAGCAAATCACAAGTTTAAAGAAGTGTATTTTCTGCTATAATAAAATGTTCGCTCCAGGCATGTACCATATTTTTCAGTGTATAAGATGCCCCCCTTTATAAGACACCCCCCCTTTATAATAAGATTTCATTAAGAAATCTTAGCTTAGCTTTGAGTATTCAGCCTCTGGACTCAGAGCGCTCGGACATTACGAGTCCCTGTTGCATCTGAGTACTGCCTACAGGCTCCACCTCCAAGGAGGTGTGTTCCAATCACTTTGATCCCTGCTCACCCCTTCTTGCTAATCCCCGCGGGGCTTAGCAAAAGGAGGGGGAACGGGATCAAAGCGCTGCAGGATCCTGACTGTAGGAAGCTAAGCCTCGTGATGGAAGGAAACCTGTTTGCAGAGGCAAGGTATGGGCCGTTTTGTTCTCTCCTCGGCTCACTTCCGTGTATAAGACGACCCTCAATTTTAGTCTAAAGATTTTAGGCAAAAGTATTGTCCTGTCCACGGGAAAAATACGGTAATTATTTCAAAGTGGTTTGACTAAACCATCAGACTTGCCAACGAAGCCCAAGTCTACCTCCAGACAGGTAATCACAAACCAAAAGGAAGTTAATTCTCAAGTGGAGAGAGTGAAGTTGATACTAGAACATAACAGGCCACTTTTGATGTACCATATTATCTGTGTTGTCTAGTCTGATCTTAGCAAATTTCTAATACCACAAGCTTTTTACCTTTATTTACAGCTAATAACATTGCTGAATTTATTTCAAGTGAAATAATCTTTAAGAAAACTTTGCCTCATATTCTTGATTATTTATTTATTTATTTATTTATTTATTTATTTATTTATTTATTTATTTATTTATTTATTTATTTATTT